GGAGCGGGGGCCTGACCCCGGCACCTGTCACAACCATAAACCCCGCGACGGTTCTTCCCCCTCCGATACCCGCCTCAAGCCGTCCAGGTGTGTCTTTGCCCCCTGAGGTGTTTTCCGTCTCCCGGTGTAACGGTGGCCGGCAAAAAGGCATCGAAGCGTAAGAGAGCAAGTGAGAACTCTCCAAAACGTCGGCGAGCGTCGAAACAGTGGGGAAAGGCTGTTAATGTCGTTAAGCTTCGTTTGGCAGCGTGAGGAAGTGATTTGTGAGGGGGAAAAAAACTGTCCTCCTTCAGCAAAGCACTAAACGGCGTTGAGTTGTGAGCCGTCAGCGCGCTCTCCCAGCTTCTACTGATTTTTAAGGTCTCTTTAAATGATGAAACAAGGCTCGCGGAGGTGGAAACTGAAAGAAGGTCACCCAAATCAAAGTTTAACAGATGGATATCGGTTTAAAGTCCCTCGATGAAGTTTATTCGGATGTTAGATGGCGGCACATGGGTAAATGCTCCCAGATCTGAGCCCGAAGCAGTCCGACAGTCCGGATCCTCTCCCCACTGCGCCAGTTTTGCGCCCTCCGTCCTCTTCCCACCTTGAATTGACACTTCGCTTCTATTCGCATTCAGGGACATGAAGGTCCTGCGAGGGCGATTTTTAACTAGCTGTTGAAAACCCTGGGTTTTTATAACAGAATTATGACTGCGACAGGATTTTATAAATAATACATCAGTGATGCCATTTCTGCGTGTGTTTTATCAAGTTTCTAATACCCCGCACGTCGCTTTTTCTGCAGAAATCATTCATAATTCATCCCAACATCGTGTTCGTGCAGATCTGTTGACAAGTTGCTCTTTCCAGGTTCCCTCTATCTCTGCTTTCAGGTTGGTGGAGATCTGATGCCCGGCATCTCTTTCATCATGCTTTTAAATGCTTTTTAAGTATTTTGTCAGTTCTTCAGGTGTAAAAATGAGGTGAGAAAACAGTGGCAGGATTAAAAACACCCTGAATGTGTGTTAAATCATCCTCTACGAGTGCTAGTTTCTCTCTACCGTCAACCGAGCGAGTCCGGATAAACAATTCAGAAGAGTTTAAGCAGCTGAAAGTTATTCCTGAGAAAGATTTCATTGGATTCGTGACATTAACGAGCTGCCTAAGAGCTGGGATCTTCCCTTCACCTTGCAGAACTATTAAGAAATTAAAACCACCGAGCGTATTGCAGCTTTAGAGAAGTTTTGTTGTGGATTTTTACTGTTAGATGGTATAAAAAGGAATGAGTTCTTACAGTTCTTGCATATTTGGGGTGTAGCTGGCTCAGCTTAGAACCAGCCCCTTTATTTTTAATTCTCTGCGTGTTGAAAATTGTACAGTTCCACGCGAGTGGGTTTTTGAGGAGAGCACCCTTTACAGTTGAGCCTTGCGTAGGAGCGTGTGATATATAGATTTAATTTAAATACTTCATGATTCCAGCAGAAGACAAACTTTATTCTCCCTGGATAAAGCCCTTTGTTGAAATCAGCGGGAGAACCTCGGGCCTCTGCTTTTGGAAGGAATTGCCTCGGGGGCCCCGGCTTTTTCTTTTCTTAAACACCCGTTTAACCGGCAGGTGTTAAACTTAATTTCTCAGCGCTTCACATAGACTGAACGACGTAAATCTCTCGATGTTGCTACGTCATCTCCGGATTCGCGCTCCGCTTGTACACGTGTGCGGAGAAAAACGATTCCCAAGCTTTTCCCCCAGCTCGGGGAGTGCTGTCTCGGGAAATCAGCTGGGAACCAGGACACATGTGCACTCAGCTCAGTAAAATTCACTGTTTGGTCCCCTCCAAGTTGTTTTTTGCTGCTCTGCACTTTATTTCATGTTTATTTTCCCAAGAGAAGGTGATGATGATTTATTCCGCTGATTTTTTTCCCTCCTGGGGATGTTTACGGATGTGCTGTGCTGCTGCAGAACTGACGGATACAACTTCTGCTCATTGGTGCCGAGTCATTAATACCCGAGTGTCTCATCTAGTGGGTTTTTTACATAATACTTAGTTTCAAAATTAGATGTCGAACTCTTAATTACCACGTTCTTAAGTTGTACCGAAAGCTTGAGGTCTTTGCTTTGAAAGCTTGAGGTCTTTGCTTAACCCAGATTTCTTCATTCCTTGAAAGAACGTGATAATCGTGGTCATACCTGTATGAACATAACATGCCCTATGTCTCAGCAAGCCAAATGCCAGTGTATACACACGGGACTTAAAAGCGGGGAGCTTTATCTTATAGATTCTGGAGGTACAGAGAGATGGGACTCTGGCTGAAAAACGCTGCGTTTTCGGCTGGGCACCCTCCGTTTTCCTTGAGGTTTTGCGCTGGGGCCAGGCTATTTTTGCCTCCTGAATTAATGTACCCAAGGTTTTATCAAAGACGGCTTAAAAATCGAAGGAGAGAAGCTCACTTTTGATCCGACGTCGGCGTGTGGTCGAAAGCACGAGGGCTGCTGCTATTTTTGGCGCTGCTGGTTGAGAAACCAAATGACCTGCCTGGAGAAAAGCTTCCCTGCGCTGGCTTTGCTTTCTCTTCCCGTTTTTCTCTGGCTGGGAGCTCAGCGTGCGCTGGGATGATGCCTGTGACAACCAGGGGTTTGGTATCACTTGGTGTCACTTGAAACGATTGCGTGCGCTCAGCAGTTTGTTTGCAAGAGGTGAGTTAACGTGCTGGAGGAGGGAGCGTTAAAATTGAGCTGTGGATTTCAAGTCAGGCGTTGGGGTGGCTGCGGTCGATGGGTCGGAGGTTTGTCCTTCGTTTCCGTGCTCCGTCTCGACCTGATCCTCCCCACTGGCAGCTGGAAAACCGTATCCCGGCGCCGTCCCGCTCCCGCTGGAAAGCGAAGCTGAACGGCGAGCGACTCGACCTAAAAACGCCAACGATGGGAAAGGAAATTATTCGGTAATAAGGCTCCGATTTGAAAAGGCGTTTACGTGTTGCAGTTCCTGTTTTGCTGGTGCTGCGGTTTCTATAGGAGTTCAAAAATACGGCGGTAACCATTTCACCCACGATTTCTTTAGGTTCTGTGTGCTTAAGGTGATTGCCCATGAAAAAAATAAAGTCATTAAGGGGGAGAGGTGTCCTGTACGTCCTTGGTGGGTGTCGGACAGGTTTGTGCAGGGATTTGGGGGCTGCGAGAGAAAAGTTTTGTAAAATCGGGCTGTCTCAAAAAGTAAATGTTTTGCAAAATTGGAAGTTGTTGCCAAAAAAGAAAAGTTTTTGGAAAATTGGGGGCTGCATCCAAAAAAAAAAGAAGTGGTGCAAAATTGGGAGCCCCCTCCAGAAAATAGAAAAGCTTTGCAAAATCAGGGGCTGTCTCCAAAACTACAAAAGCTTTGCAAAATTGGGCGCCACCTCCATAAAATATAAAAGTTTTTGCAAAATCAGGGGCTGCCTCCAAAAGACATAAAAGCTTTGCAAAGTCAGGGGTCCCCTCCAAAAATACAAAAGCTTTGCAAAATCGGGGGCCACAGCCAAAAATAGAAAAGATTTGCAAAACTAGGGGCTGCCTCCAAAAATAGAAAAGCATGGCAAAATTGGGGGCCCCCTCCAAAAACATATAAAAGCTTTGCAAAACTGGGGGCTCTCTCAAGAAAATACTAACGTTTTGCAAAATGGAGGGCTGCCTCCAAAACTAGAAAAGTTTGGCAAAATCGTGGGCTGCCTGAAAAAAATACAGAAGTTTTGCAAAATTGGGGGCTCCCCCCTATTTCCAAAAATAGGAAAGCTTTGCAAAATCGGGGGCTGCCGCTAAAAAAAGAAAAGCTTTGCAAAATTGGAGCTGCCTCCAAAAATAGAGAAATTTGGCAAAATTGGGAGCCACCTCCAACAAAGAAAAGTTTTTGCAGAATCGGGGGCTGATTCCAAAAATAGAAAAGCTTTGCAAAAATTGGTGGCCACCTCCAAAAATACAAAAGTTTTGTGAAATTGGTGTCTTAAGGTGCAGAAAAGCAACCTACACCTTCAAAGAAGGAAGGAAGGAAGCACGTGTGTGTGATTTTTGGCTTGTGTAGGCTCTTCCTCGGCTGGAGGGAGATGAAGTTGCTAAAGGGAAGGGAAACCGCCGATCCCGGGGCGGGGGGAAGGCGAGGCCAGGAAAGAAACGGGGAGAAGTTTGGGTCTCGAAATAGTTCGGATCCATAGGAAGCCAGGCATCAGTAGTTCTGTTTGTGGACTAACTTATTTTTCTCATCAGAAAAATAATTAAGATAAAAAAGAATTGTTTTCCTGCAGAGAAGTGGCAGCCAGGACTCTTGGAAGTGTTTTCAGCAAAACACCCAGCGTATGGCTTTTGATTTCAAAATTTAACGTAGACGATCTCAAGGTTTCGTTGCAGCGCGGAGCTTATTTATCCCATGCCCTTTGAGCAGATGAAGGCGTTTGCCCAGCTCTTGGCAGCTCTTCCAGGGATCGCTGTGGTGCTGGGGATGCGGATTCCACCCTGGAAACTTCGGAAAAGTTTTAAAATGGAGAGATGATTTATTTTGGCCAGAAAAACAGATGATTTATTTTGGCTGTGAAATAAAAGAGCCGGTGAAGTTGCATCGGGAGCTCCTGCGTATCGTAGCTCTTTGCTGCTTCTTTCACTTGGGCAAGCGCTTCGTCCTGCCGCCGTTTCGGAGTGAGAGACCAGACCGAAACCTCGTTAGCGCAAATCTTGCAATTAGTGCTGAAAAGTGGAGGGAGCTCGTTGTATTTTATTGGCGCATGTAATAGCAGTACTCACCTCGGATCGCGTACAAAGATATCCGATGTTCCCTAGGAAGAAGGACGCTTCTGCTGGCCTAACACAATCCAAACGTCCATTTTCGATGCCGGTTCAGTTCTTCGGATGATTTATTCCGCAGATTTTCTCCTGTATAAACGTAGCTGTGCACCGTTGTTATGTCAAGCGCCTCTTCAAACTGATTTCTCTTTCAAAACACTGGGGTTTTTTTAATTCAAAACATTTTGTTGACCTTTAGATTGCTGAAACAATCTGAAATAAAGCATCGGGCAAGCTTCGGGCATGTTTCCCAAACAATCAAAAGCACAAGTGCAGCTGTAATTAAAGACTTTATTGCTTCTAGGGTCAATTAAGGGAAGAACCAAACCCCGTGATAAGAGCAGAGGCAATCTTTCTGATAGCTCTGTTTTTTCTCTTGCAGGTTATGGCACCTGGAACACTGGGGCCACCAACACTCAAGGTGAGTTTTGTGTATATAAAAATATACCTAGGGAATTGCAAGTTTAGCATAGAACTTCTTTTTTCTTCTTTTTAGCCAGACTAGTGTAATATAGAAGCAGTTTTTTCAGCCTTCCTTCTCCTCTGCCTGTTTTAGTGACTTTCTACTTGTTTTTTGGTAAAAGCTTCCTCCCTCATCTCGGGATACGCTCCGATTTCCACCGTCGTATACTGGAGGAACTGGTCGCAATCTTGCGTATGATGAATAACGTGCTTTGCTTTATCTCCTGAGATTTATTAGTGCTGCAAAACGAAGCATGTCCTGGGGTATTTGGGAGTTTGGGCTCTCTCCTTTGATCTCCTTTCCAGCCTAAACAACAGGAGAACCAGCGAGATGCTCCTGAAAGTGATAGTTATAACGAACGTATTTGCTTTTGCTGTGGTTTTACTGCTACTTGAGGGTTTTTAGTGAATCATTTGAGTTGTTTTCAAGTGCAAATATTTGAAAGTGTTTCAAAAAACATATTAAAGTGTATATTATCCATTTCATTTTCATAATTAGTTCTTGGAAGTCCCAGCTTCTTTCTTTCCCCTTCTGTGCAAAACGATCCGTCGTTTTTACCAGCAATTAAACCGAATTATATATATATTTAGTCTCTGAACTTTTAACTTTGTTGCTTTTAGAGCTGAAACACTCTTTTCTTTTTGTCCTGTTCAGGTACATATGCCACAAATGCGACGAGTTGGCAAGGTACGTGCTAAAAAGCCCCGTTTCTTTCCGGGTGCTGGGGTGCCCTGCTCAGCCTCTCAAGTTGGCTGCGGCGAGCGGAGCCGTTTTCCAGCTCATAAACTGCCTCCACTTCAAATTTGCTGTGAAGTACGCAACGCCGTGCTTTTAAACCGCTCCTCCTCGCCGATTCCTATATTTATTTTTACCTTGCTCCGTGATTCTGGCTTTTTCTTCTGCGAAGGGAGCAGCTCTGGCCTGGTGACTGGCAGGCAGCTTTTCCTTAAAGCGGAAAAATTAGCGCATGGATGAGGAAAGTTGATTTATTTTATGTCTCCGTTTCTCGTTTGATCTGGGACAGCCAGATGTGTGCATTAATAAAATGATTTTACTGAGATGATACCGTTTGCCCCTCAAAACCCAAGGTTTGCCCTTGTAATTCTGGCAGCTTGACGGTACGCAAATGCAATTCTCTTTGTGCAAGCTGGCGCTTCCTCAGTAAAACATGATTTGCTTTCACTAATAAACTTTTTCTCTCAGAGCAATTAGTTAATTGGCCTTGATTTGGATCCTATGGCTGTTTTAAGCCGGTCTTAACGCATTCTCAAGCAAAAGCCCGAGATTCTTTTAGAAAATATTATTTCTTTGGTCCTCACAATATGAAATGGAACACTGCACGTTGGGCTGTGGATTTAAACCTCCCAGCTCAAGTCATTGGTAAAAATGAGGGTGGTTTTTTGTCTATTATTCCTCTTTTTTGTAAAGCCTGGGCGCCCCTGTCAAGGGCTCGCGCCCCGTTGTGCTGGGTGTTGTGCTGATGCAGAGCAGAAAGGCTGTTCCTGCTCCGGAGACCTTATAATCTAAATAAAAACACAAGTCGCAGGTGGATGGGGGAACGCAAAGACACAACGAGGCATCGGCACACCGGCGGCCGTAACGATGTCCATTTTATCATGGAAAAGGGAAATTAAGAAGGATTATTACGGCAGTTGCTTTACGAGAGCCCTAGGAGTGATATAGCGAAGGGTTTGGCGGGTCAGAAGCAGCGAGAGGAAGCTCGCCGCGTAGCTCTGCCTGAGCGACACCGGGTTCGAGCCGGGGCCGTAGAGTTGCGACGAGGATTGTCGGGATCCCTTAGTCCAGATCTCGGGATCACGTGAAGCACCCGGCAGCTTCACAAGCGCGGCGAGGTATCTTGCTTTTTCCGCCGCGCCGTGGTATCTTGCTCTTTGAATACCAGTCACTGCTTTGATTTTCTGATTAATTTATTTCATCGTGGCCCTTTTTTGATGGATACGTGGCCATGTGCCCGGCAGCGCATCCCCTTTGGGTTTTCTTGTGTCATTTTGTGGGACCGTGCGACGTAAACGGCTCAGGGTCCCGCAGCGTAGACTGAGCTTGTTAAAAAATTGCAAATACAACCAGCAGTGCTCCATTTCTGCAGTTAAAATCGCCCAAAGGAGGAAGGTCCTTATGCTTTTAGGGTTGGGCAATAAGAATCTTTGATATTTCTTTGATATTTTAAGAAACCAGATTTCCTTGAAGGGAGGTAAAACCCAGCTGCAGCCTTGCCCGGTAGGATCCGTTCGCATCTAAACTCTTCCTCCAGGTACCCGTGTCTTTATAATATTGTATTAATATCAATTTTATTTTCCTTTCCTGCCAGGCTATGAAGGCTACGACTATTACAACACCCAAACCACCGCCGCTAATACAGCGGCCACGTACAACTACGCCGCAGCCGCTGCCACCTCCAGCAGCTGGGAAACACCCAAAACTTCGGATATGAGCATGAACGCCGACGTCAACGCCGCCATGCCCGTCGCCTCATACGGCGCCGAGACTTCGGCCAACGAGAACTCGGATTCCATCATAGCCAAAATCAACCAGCGTTTGGATATGCTGTCGAAGGAGGGCAGCGGTGGGACAGGGGAGGGGATGGAAGACCAGGAGAGGTGACTGTTCCACTTCTTCTTTAGTTTTAATAGTAAAAAAAAAAATGGCTTTTGATCACTATAAGTTCAGATTAAACTGTTCTAATTGCATAGGCACGATCCAGAGTTCGTTCTCTGGAAAACGAGCTTAACCATTTATTTTTTACCTGTCCTCATATGTATGTGCGCACATACACATACGTATTTTATATATATCTCTCTCTCAAACATACCAAACCTGATGTACACATGAAGCATTAAAAGCGACTTCCATTGTCGATTCAATTCCTAGATTTTGCAGAAGGTTTTTTATCTATCGTTTTTAGGTTTCTTAAAGTATTTTTATTCCTCTGTGTAACTTTTTCCTCATGGCTGCCCAGTCATTATTTTTTTTTCCTCCCGCTGGGTTAAATTATGCCAGTCTGGAGAGTTGTTTTGTATCGGTGCGTGTTTTGCTGCTGAAATAATAATACAGATCTTGGCAAGAGTTACTGAATAAACAAAGTTTTGCCTTTTTTTTTTGCCATTTGATGCTCGCTGCTGCGGTCAGACAAGATGCTGAGGGGTTTATCCGCATTGATTCGCAGCCAGAGGCACAGCTAAGAGACCACGAGAAGCAGTTTTTACTTGGGGAAGCTTTTGGGATCTGCTTTTCCGCTGGCAAAACATAACTCAGAGTGGTTTAGTGCTATAAAGTTAGTAAAGTTATGACATCTCTGAAGGATTTCTGTTCAGATACCTGTGCAGAAAACCACAGTTCTTTGATGTTTATTTATTTTCCCTGAGATTAAGGGAAAGGTGGAGCGGGATACGGAAAGTGTTTGCTATGCAGGGTTTAAAAATGTTTTTATCCCATTTTTCTGGCCAAAAACATTTGGATTGTGGTAAAAATGGATGCAAACGCCTGGATGATGTGCAGGGATGTTATTTTAGCTGCTGACTGTTGTCTCCTCCTGCGCAGCTCTTTCAGATTTGAGTCTTTCGAATCGTACGACTCGAGGTCTTCAATGAACGACCGTGACGTGTACCGATCCGGCTACGATTACGGAGAAGTCGGAACCGATCGGAACGATTCCTTCGGGAGCCAGTTCGATAACCGCAGGGATCAATCTCGTAACCGAGGAAACAACTACGGCCTCATCCGAGGACGGGGTCAAAACCGCGTTCAAAATCGAGGGCGTCTAAACGCTTTCAACCGCACCGACCACTTCATGCCCTCCTCCAGCTCCGAGCGCCTCTCGGCTCGTTGGAATGAGTTGAACTACATGGGTGGGCGTGGGATGGGGGGTGCCGGATCCAACAGGCTCCCTTCCCTCTTTTCCCAAGCCCTCGTTCCCGACTACGGCGACTATGGTGACTATGGCGATTACGGCGACTACGGCGACTATGGGGATTACGGTGATTATGGCGACTACGGAGATTATGGTGACTACGGAGACTATGACTATGGCATGATGGGGATGTCGGGCATGGGAATGGGACGGTATGGGAATATGCCGTACGGAATGGGGAGGCAACGAAACAGAGACAGGATGGGTACGGTGCCCTGGCACATGAACACGCTCATGGTAAGTTGTTTTTTTTTTTTTTTCTTGTCAAGATTGCTTTTTGCTCGCCTCGGTGGGTAGGCTTGGCTGTTCGGCTGTAGAGCGGAGGCCTTCGGAGAAGCACGACTCTTAATTCACGTTGCTTCCACCATGGAAGAATTTAAACCTTCCTGGATAGAGCAGAATGTCACCAAGCTTGTATATACCCATTTGCATGTAAAATAGAGCCTCTGAATGCTTACCCCATCCCAAATCTGCTACCTAGGGGCACTAACCCAGCTATAAAATCCTTTTATAGCCAAAAATAAGTCTGCAGGGTCACAAGAATTTAAACTTTTTTAGGAGACGTAGCAGACGGGTGGAATACTTTGATTTTTAAGCTTTTTTGGTGCCTCAAGTTGATGGATACAACTGATTTCTTCCCACTTTAGCCCAAGAGAAGAGGTTTCCGAAACCGTTCGGGAGGGCGATCGGACGGCGAGGGAGGAGGACGCAAGCGAAAACAGTCGCAAAGCGGAGATGAGCCGGACAGCAAACAGGCGAAGACCGACAGCGAAGGAGATGACACCGAGAACGGTACGAGCTGTCTTCACCCACTAATATTGGCCATTTTCCCCCGTTTTTAAGTGATTTATCTTTCAGCTGACTGATAGTTGTTACATTTCAAAGCTGTTGCATTTTTTTCAGTCGTTAGCGTTGTTATAATACTCCTGCAAGCGCACAGGCTTTATGATCTGTGTATTTTGTGACCTGGGGCAAACTTTAATGCCCGAGGTGAGCGTTGCGAAAGTAAGGACAGAGTTTGCAGCAGACTGTCGGGCAAAGAAAAACCAGTGAGCCATTTGCGATCTTCGCTGGGGTTTTGAGCCGTTATCGCGGTACTTGATGATTTATTAGACACCAGTGGGGCCCCTGGGAGTGTTCAGTGGGAGAAAAGACCCCCCAGCTAAGTGATTTTTCTTTTGTGCAGCAGATGAGGGCGAAGGAGAGGAAAAATCAGGAGATGAAGCTGACAAAGGTGTAAGTAATTTTTTTTTTATCAGTCTTTGTGGCAAATGCGGGAATATTTAAGCACTCGAGCAATTTCCTCTGCTTTTTTGACCGTGCTGAGGGTAAGAATATTTAAAATCACCCGGAAACGGTGTTTTGAGCCCGTATATTGTGAAGGTATTTGCTCCTCAGAATTTCCCCATGCCGTTCAGCGGGGATTACTGGCAGATTTGCTTGCGCCGAGGTGCCTGAAAAGCACTTGTAGTGGAATGGTTAGGATCCTGCGCCTGTACTTCTGCTCCTGGCCAGGCTCGTTAGGGCTAAATTCCAATTAGTGGTTGGTTCTTTCCTCAGCGGTTGGTTTGCTGGGTTGGAGGGGGTCATTGCCATTTGTTTGCTTGTGACTGCGTGTTAACCTTCAGCACGGTGTTCCTCAGAGCGGCAACTCACCTGCCAAGTATTTAAATTTTGATAACGAGAAGCGATACTTAGCGGTGACACATAACCTGATATATGGACAACAACTATTTTGTAAACATTTATAAAAATGGACGTTTAATCCCCAAATGACACAACCCTTCGCCTGCTCTGCGGTCCGGCTGGGTGGACTCTGAAACCTCCAAATTGAAGTAAATAACACCAGCGTCTTTTTGTGTTTGTCTTTTCCAGGAGAATGGGAATTGGGGCGATTTGGCGGAGGAAGGTAGGGTGTCACCCGCCTCTCACACAGTCCTGGACTAATCCTACTTCAAATCCATCTGCTTCGCCTCAGGACGCTACCGAGAGCTTGATTTTTTTTTGGTCAAAAGCTGATGCAGCTCCTGCTGTGACCTGTTAACCAGTCCAGGGCTCTGGCGCTGCCTGTCGTGGCACAGAATTGCCGCGCTGGTTGGCAGGGGAGTGCCAAAACAGTTTCATTTCTTCTGGGCTTCTCGGTGCGGACGGTTGCCGCCTGTACGAATGGATATTGGATGTTAATTTATCTTCCTGCCGTGCCTGGAGGACGGCGATGAGGATGCACAAGTCTTGCAAAGGGGCAGAGTAAAAATATCATAAACTAAATCATTTTCAGTGGAGGTTTCAGCCATGAGCTAAACCTCGTTTTGATTTTTTCAAATAGATGGGAATATACCGAGGTATATTAGAACACTAATTTAAAAACCGTATGGTCTGAAGTAGCTGAAACCACTTCAGCTGGTTTTGGATTGTAGTTTTCGGTAAAGACACATCAACCCCAAGCGTGTTGTGCCTTCTGCATCAGAGTGACTTGCGGAAAACCACGGGTAGGACTTCTGTTGCCAGTTTTAAGTTATTCTCAGGATTGAAACTGAGGTGTCGTCGGATGTTAAAATTCTCGTTTAAGCCTCCCTCCGATGCCCAGGTCTGGTTTCTGGGTTCCTTTACCTGAAAATGTTGCAGGTGAATTATTACCTGAGTCCTGTGAGGCTGACAGACCTCTGACTCGGAGCTTTCTACCCCAAAACACTGCAGAGATTAGGTCAGCTGAATCTTTTTTTTTTTTTTTTTTTTTTGCTTTCCCAATAATTATCAAGGAATTACTGGGAAGGCGACATGAGGATTAGATCCAAAACTGTCTCAGAGAAGCAGAACTGCTACTCGAGCACTGCTAGCATCTCTGCTGGCTTTTGTTGCTTAACTTTCTTGAGGAGCTTTTTCAGCCTTGTGAAAAATAGATGAACGGGGAAAAAATGATAATACGGGGAGAAGTGGCAGCTCCTTCCAAGGAAGGGAGATAGAGAGGTGTCTTTGCAGCATCGTAGAAGTCAGGATGTTTTCCACTAACGGCACGTCCCGTCGCTGCCTACGAAGGCTTTGAGTTGCTGTGGGAAGCTCAGGGAGCCGGAGGAGAGGAGGGTTTGGGTTGTACAATAACTGCTAGAGACCTTGGAAAGAGGCTGTGACTTCCCGAAGCTGAGAGTAAAGAGGAAATCGAGGGGATTTGGGTCCCAAAATACCTCCGCCAGTGAAGTGGGTGATTGTGAACACAGTCATTCTGATTTCTACCTCCCCCTGTCCCCCAGCATCTGGAGATGGCTGTGAAGACGACGACGAGGAGGTGAAAAAGAAGAGGGAGAAGCAGCGGAGAAGAGATAGGATGCGTGATCGAGCTATGGACAGGTAAGGGAAGTGATAAGCCGGGCCGTTCCTAGCACGTCTGTGAATGATACGGGCCAAGGATATTCCTCTGCACGAATGTGGGATAAATCTGCTGGGGGATCGTGTTTTGGGGCTCTGCGTTGTGATTTCAGCAAGCTTTTTTTCCCTTTTTGTGTGTTTTATGACTGTTTTAAGGTGAGAAGAATACTGTGCTGTTCAATACATAGATCAGTGTAGAGTTGTAAGTTCAGAAGGATGTGTTAAGTGGCTATATATGCAGCCTTGCTATTAAAATAATGCAATAAGTGATCTAAAGACAGCCTAAGCAGCGAAGGCGGCACCAGCGTTTCTGTATCTTGGGGCTTTCCCACACCGGGGAGAGGATCTTCATATCGAAGAGTGCTGATTCACCTCCTGCCCAAAGAATTTGTCCAGTTGCTTTTAAACTCGTGCAGGGTTTTAGCGTCCACTCCCGTAGCATAAAGTTTTATGGAGAAGCAGGCACTGTTTAATCCGTGCAGGTTCTGCAGCAATTATAAAGGCCCAAGACAAAGTAAAATTGTGTGGGGTGGCACTTGGAAAAAAACTAAGAGGTAGAAAACTACAACGGGGTGGTAACGGTCTCATCTTCTTGATGTTCTCATTAAGCTGAGCTCGTTCCTCATTTGCGGTACGATTGCTCTGTTTAGGATCCAGTTTGCCTGTTCCGTCTGCAAGTTCCGCAGTTTTGAGGAAGAGGAGATCCAGAAACATCTCCAGAGCAAGTTTCACAAAGAGACCTTGCGATACATCGGTACCAAACTCCCGGATAAAACGGTCGAGTTTCTGCAGGTAGGTGGGTTGCCTGAGGTTAGCTCAACCCTTCCCTGCATCCATGCTGGGATTCCCAGGCTTAACTTGGGATTCCCAGGCTTAATTTGGAATTTCCAGACTTACATGGGGGACTAGAAGGAGTTACAAATTCATTCACATCTAGCCCCCTGCTTGGTTGGCTTGCATCAGCGCTTGTTAACGCATCGCCCCATGACATCACTTTGCATGACGCGGTTTCTCACTGGTTTTCATGTTGGGAGGAAAAGTTAATTGTATGAATTTGAACAGAAAGGTCAGGAATTAATATTCCAGAGATCGTCTTCGCCATCTATACATCCAGAGCTGAGGAAGGAGAGATAAGAACTGAGGCATTTCATTTTCTGGATAACCAGAGTGTGCGTTTTGGGGGCATTTTTCAAGGATTTGGGGTCTCCCACAAGGAATCTGATGGTGATATGGGAGCGGGCTTCTGCTTTGGCTCCGATTTGGATCTTTCCGGCTCTTGCTCTGGTAGAAATGACAGGGGCGGGGAGGGGAAAACACCCGCCTTGTCTAGTTGATTCACCCACCGTGGTCCTCCCTGTGGGTTTTCTCTGGAGAGCTCATTTCCCTTCTGAGCTACTCGATCGTCTCGGTGCGTTGTGAGGAGGACAGCGAGTTTTGTCCTCTTCCCTTCTAGGAGTACATCGTCAACAGGAATAAGAAGATCGAGAAGAGGCGCCAGGAGCTGACCGAGAAAGAGGGCACGAAACAGAAGCCGGATCCTTTTAAGGGTAAGTGTCCGTTCTTACACACTCCCTCAGTCTCAGAAAACAAATACATATCGCTCCCAAAGGGGCTTCGTACTTCAGATTTGTGCCGTTGTAGCTCAGCCTCAGGTTCTGGCTGGTTTTTTTGCCAACTTTGTGAAATAAATCGTCTTGGTGGGGAAGGGGGAACGCCCATCCTTGCTGCAGTTTCTCAAGCAGCAGATTCATGAGGCTCGTGCAATGTCAGAGATACTAAAATGAGGTAAACGGGGGAAAAACTCCCAGGAATTGTTGATTTTTGTGGCTGTTCGGTTAATGCAGCTGGATCCTGTGTTCGCTTTTAATGTTAAAAGAAAGCGGCGAAGTTGATCTGTTGCAGCAACGAGCGTGATGGCGAAAAATCCGCTTAGCTTCGTCCACGTGCCCGTCCCTGGTACAGTCTGCAGCGCTCGGCCACGTCTGTGCTGGGAGCGATGAGTGGAGCTTAGTTAAGCCACACATGGGCTATAAAATCTTGCAGGGAGAAAACCTGAGCCCAAGTAGAGAGGAGGAACGAACCCAGAGCTGGGGGAAGCGCGAGTTGTCACTTCCACCTTTATTTAAATACGTTTTTGGAGAGGCGGGCTGGTTTTGGGAGGAAAACAGCCTCGGGTAAGTCGATTGCTGTGTACCTCGGGCTGTTATCCCCGTCTCTCTTCCTCCTGCACTTGGGTACTGCGTCGGAACGATCTGTTTTAGAGCAGAATAACACTCCTCCCCGTCTTAGAGCAACATACGTGATTTTTTTGTCTCTGGAAGCAGAAAGTGGCAGGCATACGTGCGCTGAATTAGCGTGTTGGCCGTGACGCGGGGTCGTTAGAAGTGGGGTAGAGGTGCCCACGACGTTAACCGGCCGAACATCTCATGCGTTTGGGATTTTGGCTGACGTCTCGTCGCCGCTGTAGGTATTGGCCAAGAACACTTCTTCAAGAAGATCGAGGCGGCTCACTGCATGGCGTGCGACATGTTAATTCCTGCGCAGAACCATCTTCTCCAGAGGCACCTGCGATCTGCCGATCACAACAGAAACCGCAGGGTAAGCAACGCTGCTCGCTTCCGAACTGGAGCGTTTTATCTCTGCTGGGCCGAGGGGATGCGTCCGGGCGCTCGAGGTTTGTTTGCGGCTTCTAAAAAACACCTTCTCGTACGGTCTCGGATCGCACCACGAGATGAAGCCGCTGACCGGGGAGCTACAGGGGGTTGTGGGGTGCTTGCGGACGGGGCTGTGCAGGGTTTGTTCTTGTGCAGGGAAACACGAGCGGATGAGAAGTGGGGAGGTGAACAGAAAAAGTGATATTAAAAGGGAGATCTGGCCTTTTCTTTTGCGCTGGGGGTTTAGCAGGGTACATTGTCCGGGCATACTGTGCAGACTAAATGTTTCCTCTTTCTAAATTCTCAGTGCTTGCGAGAAATTAAAATTAAAAATCGCCTTTGAGGGCGCTTGGGGAATTCATAAATGAGACGTAATTGATGTCTAAATTGGCCCAGGCTGGAGAGGGGCTTTGGACGTTGCAGATGGAGACGGGGTGAGCTGCGGTCTGCGCCGCTCGTCCCTCGGGCTGGTCTTCGTCTCCTCTGTCTTTGAGTGTTTGACGTGACGGTCGCTGTCCTGGGCGTGATCTTGGGATATCTGGGGGATGTTCCTGCTGCTGGTGCTGAAGCACATTTTTCTCCGGGGCTCATGTTAGCGGAAGAGATGCGGGTGCTCCTTTGCGTCCGCTTTTTGTGATGTTTTCTGGGATCTGAGATCAGGCTTCCCAAGCCCTGCAGAGGAGAAGGGAAGACAAACTCTGGAGCCGAGCTCCTCATTCGAACTCTTCCCCGTTTGAACTGACCCTGATGTTCGGTTCCTTTTCAGATGGCTGCGGAGCAATTCAAGAAAACCAGCTTACACGTCGCCAAGAGCGTCCTGAATAACAAACACATCGTAAAGATGCTGGAAAAATACCTCAAGGTGAGTGAACGAGAGAGTCGGCAACTCCTGCCGAGTTCCCGGAGCGGCGGGGTCAGGCTCCGCGTTGGTCCCGGAGCAGCACGGAGCCGCGTCTCGCTGTGTGCTGCGTGTCGGTGACGGGACGCCTCGCTGCGTACGATGGGGAGAAGCGTAGGTTCCACTCCGCTGCCTTTTTATCTCTAAATTTTGGGTCTCATTTCTTTTCTCCGTAGGCGGTTTACCACTTCTCGTGTTTTGTTTTTTGTTTTTGTGTTTTGTTTTTTTTTTTTTAATGTATTTAACTCGCAGACTGTACCTACTGTCATTCCCAGGTGCGTGTAGATCAATTACGAAACAGTCCAAACCGGAAACGTAATTAAAGAAACCAAAATAGCAAAAGGAACTCCAGTTCCCCAAAGCCACCCCTTGAGCTGTGGCCTTTGGGGGGGGACACCGGGATCCCCCCGGTGCAGGGAAGCGAGCGCGTGGGTCGGGAAGCCACCGCTTGAGTCCCGCCGGGATTGAATCCGACGCGGACGGCTCCTGGGCCCACCTGCTATTCCTGCGCCGGGGGTGTTGGAGTTTTTACCCCGTATAAAGAGCCGGGCTCTGCGGCGCTCCCGGCAGCTCAACCAAATGACAGAGCACCCCGAGGAGGGGGGTGCATCCAATTCCCGTGAGTTGAAACACCCTCGTTAGCCCCCCA